CAGCCAACACGCATAACAACACGTTCAACCCCGTCCTGTCTCCACCTAGTGTTAACGAGCTACGAACAACGAGGGCGCGACGTTAGGATCCTGGTGCCCCTGGCTACAAGCGACCATTCAGAGCTCATTGCTGATATGGAATTATCTTTGCCGTATTCATGTCCGCTGGAACCAGCTCCCAACTACTGGAAAATGGACTTCGATGGTCTAGCTCGAGCCGCGAGCCAACTGGATTGGTCTCTGTCTCAAGCTGCATCTGTGGAAGACTGTTGGATATTTATAAAAAAAGAGATCGACATGATTGTGTTCCCAATTTGTGCCACTGAAATGTCGGAAGTTTGGACCGATTAAGCCTCATTGGTTTGACAAGGAGTATGCAAACCTGGCTCGGAGGCGGCGCAGACTGTGGGACAAATTCCTCCTCTCTGGCTCTGCCAATGATTACGAAAGGTATAAATGTCAGCGGAACCTCTGCAACAGTGCAAAAAAGAATAAACGCCGACATTACGAAGAGCAGCTCGCAGTAGCCACGAAGACCGCCCCAAAGAGAACTTTGCATACATGAAGCGATGTCTGAAGCTGGCAGGCGATGTGCCAGTGCTGGATGGCCCGGATGGACAGCCCCTAACCTCCAGCACCGAGCGTGCGTCCGCGTTGGCAGTGCACTTTGATCCTGTATTTGTGAATAACCAGGTGTCTGTTCCAATTTCAAGGTGTACCACTTTTACCGAACTCGAAAGTCTGCATTGCGGCGTTGAAGAGGTAGGTCAACTACTCGCCAACCTTGACGGCACCAAACCTGCCGAACCTGATGAGCTTCACTTACTGGTTCTCAAGTCACTTGCGACCATCCTCTCTCCCGTCGTGACTGACCTTTTCAACAGGTCGCTGTCCGAAGGTTCGTTGCCGGTTGACTGGAAATGTTCAGTGGTGAAGCTTATTTCGAAAGGCGGCGAACCTAGCAAAGTAGACAACTACAGGCCAATTTGTCTGACACCTATTTTGGCAAAGGTGGCTGAGAAAATCGTGAAGAAGGGATTGCTGCAGTTGCTACAGTCAAACGAGGTCCTGACGCCCGCACAGCACAGTTTTATGCAAGGTCGCTCATGAATTACGAACCTGCTTGTGACGAGGCATGAGTGGTTGAAGGCAATAAGCAAGGGGAAGTCCGTCGAGGTGATATTCATCGATTTCAGTAAAGCGTTCGACAAGGTCAGCCATGAGGTTATTCTTCACAAACTCAGGATGTGTGGTGTCGGTGGCTCACTGCACCGATGAATCCGCGACTTTCTTGTTGGACGAAAGTGGGGGGTACAGATCGACGACCATCTAACTGACTGGTACCCCTCTACAAGTGGCGTGCCTCAAGGCTTTGTGCTGGGGCCCACTCTGTTCTTGATCCACATCAACGATCCACCGCAGCTTCTCCGGTCGCTGTGTGCCTTGTTTGCGGACGACATTAAGATTTGGAGAGAAATTGACGCTCCCGATGACCTCAACCGCCTATCCACATGGTCTGCAGAAGTTCTTCTCCCGGTCAACCCAGCCAAGTCTGTATTTCTGAGCCGGGGGAAGGGTGCTGACGACCGAACCTACACCCTTGACGGCCAACCGTTCTATACCACACCCTCCGTGAAGGACCTAGGTGTACTCTCACGCTACGATTTGAAGTCCGTGGACAACACGGACAGGCTATATCGTAACGGACTGCGCATGCTTTGGGTGCTCAAACGTAGCTTCGGCACATGATCTGAAGAGGTTGCCACTCGCCTCTTCTCTTCCATCATTAGACCAATGCTAGAGTACGGTTCGCCCGCCTGCTTTCCGATTACCCGAGGCGAGGCACAAAAGATCGAACTGGTCCAACACGTTGCTACTATGCTCATCCCGAGTTTACGTGGCTAGGGGTATGAAGACCGGTACGAGAAACTAGGACTCTACACCTTGTCCTACCGTCGGGTGCGAGTCGACCTCATTATGACCTACCGTATTCTACGTCTCGGTGACTTCCCAATGCTAAGGCCAATGCTGCACTTACGAGGGCCATGCAGCACACGCAGACACAGATACAAACTTGTTGTACCGGATGTGAAATGTGTTCCCCACCCACTGTGCTTCGAACAGAGAGTGGTAAACATTTGGAACAGTTTACTTGAACATGTGGTGGAGGCAACATCTGTGCAGCAGTTCAACACGTTGTTAGCTTTATATTTTACCACTATTCGATTCAGAGAACGATTGCACACTTACGATGACATATCACATCTGTGAGTCCTGAAATATCGTGAGTCAGATATTTTAAATGTTACATGAGAATGACAACGAGATTCACGGTTGACAACTTTTATAACGTGTTTCACCATATTTCGAAAGAGTTGTACAGAATTGATTTCTACTTGCTCTATAATACAGTATTCAGTATTCAGGCTACTACCCAGCTCCGGGAGTCGTGATAGAGCCAAATTAGAATAGGAGCGAGTTTCAGTTACACGCCATTCACGGACAAGCGTTGCCACAAGTTGGCAAGATCAGCGCAGTCGAAAGTGGCTTCCAGATCCGGAAAAATTACTATAATCGACAGTTTGTAAAAGTATTTTCCTTTCAGTGGTTGGCGAAAAATAGGTAAGCGGTCAGTGCAACCAGAACAAAGGCTACTTCAACATGGCTTTCATTGATTCGGATTTCATGGGGACCAGCAAAGGTGGAATAATGATACTAATTAGAAGTTTGGTTGTAAAGAAAATATAGAAAATGCCTTGGTGATGTTGGCACTGAGCCACTAAACCCTTTTTGAAACAGGGGATAACGGTTGACCGTCACTAATTAGAAGACATCTCTTCAGGGTTAAATAAAGCGGATAGACAGGTCACCAACAACTTGCTTCCATCTTTCAGTAAATATGGAGGAAGATCATCTAGTCCAGGAAACTTGTCGCGTTTCAAGATAGTGAGAAAATGTCGTCTTCAAATGTTGATAATGTTGCGCCAACTTCCCGTGTGGGTACAGGTAATTCAACAAGTTATAGTGTCACGGTAGGCCTCCTGGTGGAAATCTTTAAATTTCTTCATGCAATGGGCTATTTGATCCTCAGAATAGGTCTTGTATCCGGTTACTGAAAGAATTGGAATAGTTCTCGACTGTCGCTAATAGCATAGAAATCCTCCAACACGTGACAGTGCCACATCAATGCACCGGATCAATTCTGACTCAGACATAGTTGCACGGTATTACGGACATGCTGAGACTGGTGTTTAGTCGAGCAGAGTACCTACATTATGTTGTCGAAGGGAATAGCAACACCATAAATGTGCCCAGTTATGGACTCGGTATCGCCAGAACATAGTCGTTGTTGTCAGCCTAGTTACGATACTGTTATTGTGTATGCGTGTTTCAGAGATAGTACAGATTAATTCTAAGCGAGGGAAAAATGAGACCTAGCATTGCTTGCTGACCGAATGCGCCTGGAGTGGGAACGTGAAGGAGCTAAATGAAAATAAGACCCATGCAAATAGGGGAGAGGTACTTGCATCACGTGCACCGAATTCTAGGTCAGTGACATTCTTTCGCTCACGAACCGCGGACCAATATCGTTGCTATGACAGAGAAAGGTAACGAAAAGAAATAGGATAAGCGACGGGAACTAGATGATGGACAACGCCTTCAGGCTACCAATTCTGACATTGTGGTTTGGTTTGAGGTGCTCTACCGCTAGATTTGGAGACACTATTCCAACTCACAATGCAGTAAATAGCTGTTGTGGTTCAAGAGTGGGAGTCTTTCGATCGCAACGCGACTGCAACTACGATCAGTTGCAGTAAAGGACTGCCTGATTTAAGGCACGTTGTTGCACAAGTGGTACCGCCTCTCATCGTCTGACACAGCAAATGGCACATATTTTGTACACTAATGAAGCAGAGTTTATAACCCGCAGACTGTTGCCACAGCTGGCTAAGAATGAGCTTGTTTGACTGCTAATTATTGTTCTGTCCGGTATGAGCAACTCTGAAGACAAGAGAAACTTGCCGTCTAAGGGAGCCGGACAGATCGCTGAGATATGCACGTCATCGCCTCACAAGTTGCGATTTAATCGCGATGATGTTGTCGGGTGACACTTTGCCAAACCTGAGCAGGACTGGTTTGTAGCTCAATCTCCATCGGGCAGTACTCAATAACTGATCATTTGACAACCAAAGAAGTCAGAATTATGTCATCTACGAGATAAACTGCAAAGAATGTGGCACATTACATCGGACAAGCTGGAGAGACACATTCAACACGGATCAACGAACACAAAATGGACTTACAAAGACACGACACACATTCACTGCTTGCCATGCATGAAGACCAAGAAGGCCGGCACTTCTACCCAGAGAACGTAAAGATCCTAGCCCGTTGAAATTCGAGGCAATCTAGAGAATTGTTGGCAACATGTTACTCTACAGGCAGTCCAATCAACCGACGCGTTTAAAATAGGTGCTATCTATGCAGTACTACGGATGAAAGAGCGCCGAGTTACTCAACTAAATCTAACAGAACAGAACGCTGGGCAACTGCGTTAAACGACGACGTCGACCGTAAAGGCACGCATGCTTACGCTACGAGGCACAAATCGAAGAGATCAATTTCGATGTTCATGTGCCCGTCGAACCATCCAAAATCAGACGGACGGCCCGTCCGCTTAGAAGATCGACCACTCAGAATCACTGGCGCTTCGTACCGCGCCGCTCCGCTACATAAACGCGCGCCGGCGATGTCACCTTGAGTAGTGACGCAATGTTTGCAGCCAAACTTTCAAGCTCAGCAAATCCTCAGACCACCAACTGAACAACCTGAGTTACTTTATCACATTTGCCCACTATGCCTATTGTAGGAAAGACATGTTCCTCCTGACCAACATCCGGGTTAGCTAATGCCTGCCGTGGTGAATGAGTGTTTCTGTTGGCTATCGTGAAAAACACACTCTATTGCACCGCTAGCTAGCTAGGAGTCAAAGAAGCGTATGCGAAAACATCATTGTACTTCTGCTAAAGTGATGCTCCAAAGCTGAATCGATAGAAAAAAGGGGATAGGCAAGACGAATAATCTCGAAAATGAAGAGAACAATGTTTTGGCGCAAGCAGAGGGCGGTAACGTGTTACCTAATGGGTTACAAATCGAAGTGATACTGAGGGTTGCAGAAGGTAAAATCGAAAGGCCAGTACGCTCTTCTAGCTAAAAGTAGAAGTTGGTGAGCAACCTTTACAGTGCATCAAAAAGAGGTGAATGTGCTCTACCAAACCATTGATTGACTCCAAGTTTAAAGTGGGCCGAAATGCGGTTGCGCATCACGGCGATCTTTCATCAGCTGCATGTTGAGAATGTGCAGAATGAAGTCGGGATGCTCAAGATGTAGGCAAACGGGATGGGATAAAACACTTGAGCAATTGGACTAGGAATATCCAAACACGTATACGTGAGCTGATCGAGCAATGATCATTGGGGGAATGTGAACGAGCAAGGTGGGACGAGTTGATATCCACCAGAATTCGAGAAGACGGTGTGTACACCCAAACCTGACCAGCTGAGGAGATCGTCGCTGGCGGGAATACGGTGTGGCAAGCACTGGAAAGCGATCACACTAATTTTGGTAGGGGAGTTCTCGGTGGAAGATTAGAGGCTGGCGGCGACATGTTACAGGCAGAAAGCGCAGTGTCCATCAGAGTACATTCATGAGGGTACTCAAGCATGTGATCCAACCAAAGGTATAAAAGAACAACCGGCTCAGACATGTTAAAGTACAGACGGGTAATGCAGAAGAATTTTGAGAAGATAGGATTTCGCCGCGACTGCCCGTTGTTGAAACACAAGAATGAAGAAGTGAGAAGGGTTTGGCTGTATGACAGTAAGACGGTATCCGTGTAGCCGGCTTTACGTAGTGGAGTGGGAAGAGCAAAACATTAGGCAAACCGGAATAGACTTGCTCGGCACAGAGACTTCACGAACAATGTGATACAACGTGAGCAATCCCACCGCTGTCACGAAGACAACCATTCACAAGTAGATGAGCGAACCTGATGTCGTGGTAACACAATTCTCATTGGAAATGGCTCTGCACAAATAAGGAAAACAGTACAGTCAAAAGACGTATTAACTAGCACTCAAAAACATGTTTCTCCATGTGTGGCTTCTGTGTGCATAGGGCTTCGGCAGAAACTCAAACCAACACACCCTACTTGGCTTCATTCGGAAAATGCGGTGATTACTTCACACCCAGTGCCTCTTACAAGCAACACTCGTGGGAGACCTTCAGTTAATAACTCAACGTAATCCATGTAGTAATAGTCACTTTCGGGACTTCGAGACGGATTTGGCATGTTCACGATGACCAAATCAGCTTCACTGGAGTGTGTTCGCAACAGTTCGTTTAGTCGGGAGGAACAATGAAGATGACGGATGGTTTTGGAGCTGCAAGGGAAAAGCCGGAAATCGCAATCAGAGTAAGTCGCGGATAACTAGAGAAAGCAATGTCTGGAGACACGTGTGTTACGGAGAGCGCATCACTACCAACCTCGGCTGAGTCGATATAAAGTAAAACCTCCGTAAATTGACCACTCAAGGGACTGGACCAAAGTGCTTAACATAGAGAGGGCGTCAACATATGGAGGTTCTATGCTAAAAGAACGTAACCTACTTTACCGTGGTGAGTGGTATCGCATGAAATTTAATTTCACCTAAACCCGCTTCGAACACATTGGATGAGGTCTCAATAGCGGCAAACGCAGTTCAACCATAAAGTGTGCTAATAAAGCATAATGCAGTGTTCATTTCGCAATTGAAATCATTTTTTGAAGGAAAAGTCAATTTTGTCGGTTTCACTCTATTATCACGATGATAACTTAAGAAAGCGCTCTAAGCACAAGCCACATTACCATGCCTGCCTTGACATTTTCCACAGCAAATAGTTTCAGCTGCATTAAAGATGTCTGACTTCATCTGCTTTTGGAGTTTCTGTGATTTCCAGATCATCGTCTCTCCGTCCTTCATTTTCATCAGCATCATCAGGTGTTTGTTCTTGCGTTGCGTAGGGGAGTAACGCAGTCAGTAACTGGGAAAATAGCATCAGGGTATGGTTCAGTGCAACAACCAACGCTTTATAATCCATTCCGTCGAATTATACTAATGGAGATGGAATGTCTACTAATGCGACAGCATGGCAACCGAGAGGTTGAACAAATTTGGCTTTTTTGAAATACTCCTGCATTATTTCTGTGTGCATTGTGAACTAAGCGGAACTTATCCAAAACACAACATCCAAGACATTACTTGAAGCAACAGATGTAGTCCCTTCTGCGTGAGAACCATTAATACGCAATTTTGCCATAGCTCATTGCATGAGCTGGGCTCGGAAGTGCATTTTGAATATTTTGATGATCCCTTGGTCCAGAGGTTGACTTTGTGAGGTCATGTTTGGAGACAGAAATTTAAGTGCAATATTGGTGACATTGTTTACCTGCGTGCGACTAGGACAGTTGTCCACTGTGAGGATAATGAATCGTTTCTTCTTCATCATTTATTTATTTATATCACTGATCCACTCCGCAAATATGGCAGCAGTCATCCACGCAGATCGGTTTGATCTCCAGGTGACTGGAAGGTTTTCAAGATTTAGGTTTTAGAACGTACTTGGTCTAGCTGATCTATCAATGACCAAGGGCTTCAGCTCCTCCCTACTTGAGCTAGCGTATAACAGAAGTGTAAAACGTTCTTTGGAATCTTACATTTGTCACGCTTTATAACAAGAATTCCGTTAGGCATCGCGTTGAAAAGTGACCGCACTCGTCAGCGTTAAAAATGTCGACATTGTTGAAGCGATCGGTAAAGTTGGAAAGCTTTTTGATTAAGTCTTGAACAAACTTTTCAGGCACTTCATTGGATTCACCACACAAAACTGCGAAATGTTATATCGGAGTTTACATTCTCTAGCCAACCGTTTGATGCCTAGAAATCTGCAACCCCCAATTCTGGTGAGAACCTTTTAGAAATTTCTTGAATCCTCGGCCCAGAAATTCGAACGTTAGGTGCCCTCTTTTGCTTAGACCAGCACAGCGTAGCCTCCTTGAGTTCATCGCGTGAAGTTTCCCGCATCTTCCGCTGTAGATCTCCTCTTGCATTACCGTATCTCCTTAAGTACTCGTATTTATGTCTTTGGATGCTGCCAACTGTTGTCTTATTAACACCAAAATGTTCCGCCGTCTCTCTTCAGATACTGTTTTCCAGAAAATGGAGCAGACTAATATTTTCCTTTAAAGTCAACTCCTTTCTTTGGGACTCAATGCTGAATCACTCGTACTGACCGCTTCTAAATTGGACAAAGCCCATTAATTGCATATAATAACTATTCACGATTGGTTTCATCCTTAGGCCTACACCAAATAGAGAAAGATAAGCGCTCGACAATTGATGTAGGCGTAAACATCAATTTTGCCACAATCCAAGGTGCTAATGTACTGGTGCTTAGGTCTGGTGGTTAATCGAGGGTTTAAGAGTCACCGAAACTCCTGATTGCTGCCTGTGCGATGAGTGTACACATGATCCTAGAGGTATACGAAGGCTTGCTTATGTTTGTGGACAGGTTAGGGAGGTTGAACACAAATCCTTCTCGGTCATTCCATGGGCGCGGATTCGTCGGGACCCACATCGATCTAGGTATAAATGTGTGCGCATTAACGCTGACGACCAGGACAAACACGCACATACGCATCCACACAGAGAACATGCTGTATCCACAAACGTAAAGTTCACTGATTTGGGGGTCAAAAGTCCACACTTTGCAGTCCCGCTGGTCGCCGGGATATCTTCCTCTTGGTAAAGGGTCGTGTTTACAATGTCACCGTTCGGGCGGTGTTGCTATATGGAAGCGAGTCATGGCCATTTCGCATAGACGAAATGCGCCGGCTCTCGGCCTTCGACAATGGATGCTTGGGAGGGATCGCTCCTGTGTAGTGTCAACAACACATTTGCCACAGTGAAGTCAGACGTCGTGTTTCAGGGAATGCGAGTATTCCCTTCAGCAATCTGGTTTTGCTGCGCCAGTTAGGATGGCTCGGTCATGTCTTGCGCATGTCAGCCGAGCGTTCGTCCTATCGCACACTGTTTGCTCGTGCAGGACTCAAGTGAATGAGATCAAGTGGTGGTCTGCCATCCACCTGGCGACAGGAAATGAAAGCGCTGAGTTCACGCCTTGCAACTATTGGATCCACACGTCTGCCTGGTTGGTGACCGAAGGACGAGGAGTGCCGGTGGCCGGAAACAATTCAGGATATGGCTCGTAATCGAAACCAGTGGAGGATCTGCGTATATAACTGCTTAGATTTGGATACATAATGCTTAACCATTAACGAGGAAAAAAATTAAAAAATGGTGCGTGTAAAAAATGCTTCGTTGCTTTTAATATTACGGCACAATAGCTGGTGTTTCCCACCTTCGGGTTATGTGCCACTACTACTACTACTACTACTACTACTACTACTACTACTACTACTACTACTACTACTACTACTACTACTACTACAGCTTTTGTGCGTAAAACGAAGTGACCGAATGGTGAGTGAACCGCTGCTGTGAGGGCTTTCGGTTGCAGCCAAAATACTCAGCTCATAGAATGTCCGAACGCCCTCATCTGCACCACGAGCTATACTAACACTGCTTTAACGTCCTTCACTGCTCTGTTCTGCTGCAGGAATACAAAGATCTGCATTTATATGAATTCTATTACATTTACCTTCATAGGTGAAACCATAAATTTGAAGTAGTTTAAGTAGAATGAAAAGAAAACATTCGCCATATCTGCGAATCGCTGTCGCTACGATTAACCTTGATGAGGTGCTGCCTGTTAGTCAATTTCACAACGCGTCACGGATGCCATATGTCAAGTCGTGGGCTTCAGAATTTCGGCCCTGAGCTCTTCCCTAAAGATACTCGCGTAATCGTCCTGGATTACGCTGATGACAACACCCTGCTCGGGGACGACTCTCAAGGTAAGCAACTGATCATTGACGATTGGTAGTTGCAGTGTCTATGCATGGTATTTGGCTTGTTGTTACAGCGCACCGTCGAAAACACACCGCTTAAACAGGTTGATACGTTTGTCTACCTAAGGTCCTGGCGCCTTTCACATGGCACAAGTGGAGAGGTTTTACTTCATATCGATAAATCCGGGTAGATCGTTGTCAACTGGAAACATTTGTGCCATCACGACATATCGCTCTCGCTAAATAGCAGGGTTTACAACACCTGCGTTTGTGTGATAGTGTTTTGTAGATGCGAAACGGCCGATTCGCTTACACGTAGATTTTCAGCCTCTGACGATGAGTGCATGCGGAGGATAGCCCGCGTATCGTGGCAACCCAGGGTGTCCAATGATAACATCAGATGTTGCGTCGTGTGCAAAGCGATTCATCCACTCCGTGGAATTGTTCTACTGGTTGAATTAAGATGGTTTGGTTGCATCATGTGCAAACCAAGTGAGGGTTTTCCACGCCGCGCCATGTTCTTGCGCACAAGACTGCACTCGAAAGCCGGGGGGGGCAGTCGACCAAATGGCATGAAAGTATCAAATCATCGACATTTTATCTAGTCATCGGTGGTAACGAATGGCTTCCTGTTTGGGGACACAAGGATGAAGAATACCAATAGCGTACAAGAATAGAAACAATGGTGCAAAAGAGGTTGTAGGGACGATATTACGCACTAGGTTCTGCGAACGCAAGATTTCAAAAGCACCAATTTGAAAACGACAGAAGTAAAAAACGGACGTGCTATAAAGGACAAAAATATCGTTCTCTTTATTGCTAGTTGAGTTTCTACAAATGCAGTACATATCACTATTCTTGGTTCAAATCTCTGTGGTTTTGAATGGTTAGATGTCTATAATATGTATTGGTGTCTACGTCTGACCGAATCCTGCCGGAGTAAATGTGAGTGTGGATGATTTGCACGGATATATGAAAACGAGATTGCTACTTCTATTGGAAACAACCGAGTAGGATACAAACACCTCTGAAGCAAAGCTTCACCGAAAGGTGTTTCTGAGTTTGTAGATATCTGAGCAGTGATCAATTGACCCATTTAAATAGGCCGAGGCACCAGTTTATATCTTGTTTAAAAGCAACAGACAGATACAACACTTGTTAGCTTCTCGTGCACACATCCACCCAATAAGGACGTATGACTTACTCCATTCCATTCCCTGTCCCATTGTGCAGACTCTGAGTCATTCAACACGATCGGAATGACTGTACTTCGCGTTGCGGTGTTGGGAATACTGCTCTTCTTAGTGTTCACATTTGAACGGACGTCGTGAAAGTCACTGCTGCTAATCGACTTGCGGTGTTGATCAACAATGTGCTGGGGATCACGTCGGGCCTCGTTGTTCGATAGCTTCATCTGTATCAACATCATTTTCCGCTGTTCCATGGTAGCTGTGCGTTGGGCAACGTAGGCTGATATGTCCGCCGTGCTCTGGAGTAGAGATGCGGTTGAAATTGTAGCGAAGGTTAAGACGTGAGCCATGAGTTGACCTAGTGAACTGTACAGAGGCGGTTAAAACTTCAATTTGGGGCATTATTTTTGCAACTGATCACTTGGATGGGCCAGAAAGAATTGTTCAGGGCAGAGTAGAACAAGAACCAGGCGCTAGAATATAAACATCATAGCCAAGTAGTTGATCTGTGTCTCGAACCGTCTAGAAATAGACCATTTATTGATCTATATATAACGTCCGGGTGGAGAAGTAGACTGCAAGATGCATTCCTTCGGGATGTCAGCTATAAACACTGGAGTATAGTCAGCTGCATAATTGTGAATACGTCTCACCGGAATCAGTGAGGACTGAAGCCAACTCCTAAACAGATGCGTGTTGTTCAACCTTAACGGAGGCCAAATGGAGAGGTGTGACATTCAATGGTATCAATTCGCATACGGCGGGACTGTCGTAAACACCAATGTATTAGCCTGATTGTAGCGAAGAAGGACTGTTACGGTGCGCTAAGGCCAGCTGCCATGGCACATACAAGCACTCGTCGACGAATGCTGCTTACCAAACTACTCTGCGTAGCTTGAATGCCGGGGCTTGAAACCGGCTATTTCTAGATCTATAAGACTTATTCTCAAATTGGATTTGAACACCTTTCCAGACCCTGCTGAATTGCACCCAGTAATTCTAAAATCCGTCGCCGAGCCAAGCTGTTAAATATTTCGGCATTCCCCTAAAGCTGCCATTTTACCATCAGATTGGATACTGATCACTGCGTTGCCAATCTAAAAAGGAAAAATTGTCTAGAAAATTAACAGCCAATATCTCGGACATCAATCGTTTTGCAAATAAGAAAAATAATTTCAACTGTCCCAATGAAGACACACAGTTACACCGAAGTACTGAACGTTCTCTCTCCCTCTCAGCATGGCTCCTAGGGGGCATGCTCTTGCATTTAAACTTTTTGTGACCAGATTAACACGAGTAAAAGCAACAGCTGCCAGAAACGTGAACTTAGCCCTGATTGACAACATCAGCAAAGCAGTTAATAGAGTTCCATATGATCGGCTGCTGTTCAAAAGGTGATTCTCTAGTACCGAGAATAATCTGTATTAGATTGTACACTTGCTAAAGGGTTGCACTTCTTGACTTGGAGTATGCGGACGATACAGCCCTAATCTATGACGGCTCCCAAACATGCCGAGCAGTACTGGACCGATAAGCACTGGCTGTCAATCATTTTGGGCTACGGTTTGCTTCATCGAAATGCAAAGTACTTCTCCAAGATTGACAGGGACCCACTCCTACGCTGACGCTTGGTGGTTATCAGCTAGAAGTCGTTTAGGAATTCAAGTATCTGGGCAACTATATTAGCGCCCGTGGGATCGAAGATGAGGTTACGAACCGTATAGCAAAAGCTCGAGGTGCTTTAGCTAATTTCCGCCACCCGTGACGCAGATGTGATCTCGCCCTGAAGGACAGAGTTTATAACGCAGTCGTGTGTTCAACTCTCCTATATGGTTGTAAACCTGGACCATCAGGTCGACAGACATAAAGGGGCTCGTCACATCCGATCATCGCTGCCTTCGTAGTTTAGCCCCATGTCTGCTGGGAACACCGGGTGAGCAATGAGCGTGTTCAGCGTCGCGTAATTGGCGCAGGAAGAGCTAGTGAACCGCTCAGCACCATTATATCACGCAACAGACTCCGATGGCTGGGCCACGTGTAGCGCATGTAACCAAACCGACTCCTGCGATATACATTGCTTGCGCGCCGGAAGTGTGTTTGGAAGAGGAGAAGAGGAGACCAAGCAATGACTTGGTCGAGAGAAATGCAAACTCTCACTTCAAAACTGGCGTCGGTTGGTGCATCCTGACTGGCTGGTTGCTGTCCTAAGGACGATGAACACGTTTGGTTGGACACACTTGCTGATATGGCGCATGTGTTGTGAGTTTCTTTGTTCATTTCCATCGCTTTAGGTTCTTTTTCCAATCCCGATCTCATGCAAAACGCACAATATAATATTTAACATCATATTTTTTGTTGTGTAATTTGTAGTGTAACTTTTTAGTCGCTTATATTTTTGTATTGCGGCACATTAGCTAAGGTGGATTTCTCACTATCAGCTCAAGTGTACTGATGATGATTGATGATGATGACGATGATGATGGATGATGATGATGAAAGGGCTGCACCATGCGTGTGGAGGTGAACCAAGTCATCTTTGTTCCTGTTCCGAGCACTCTGATGCTTGAATCAAAGCTATTTATCTTAACTGAACGGAGCTGAGACAGGTTGTAGAGTGTGGGCAGTCCATTTCGTCCGTTTAGACACGCATACACTAGGACTCGCATCTTAGTCAATCTACTGATGAAGCCGGATTCCGCTGTGGAATAACCGAAGCAGAACCCCATAAGAGCTGCAGTTCTAAAGGAAATGTAGCAACTTAAGTGTGTGAATATGCTCGTGAGGCTTTAACAAGGCAGATGAGGTAGGTTGCACAGAAGAAGGTGAATGACAGCTCTATCACAAAGTTAGTGCTGAAGCCTCGAAGAATTGGAGGACAAATAAACACAAGAACTCACCATTGCGACCACTTCCACCGAGGCGTTGATACGCAGGTCATACATGAACTTAGTCATATCCTTCTTCAGATTAACTGTATCATCTCCCTCGCTAGCAACGACGAAAATACGCAGATCACATTTGCGCCAGGCACAATTGCGCATGAGCAGATAGGAAGTAAGCAGCAGGAGACCACCATCGTGAACAATACACCAAACATCCACGCTGCCAGCCATTCGTTCGCTTCGGCTCTTCGGAAATGTGTCAATTCCCTTGGGCACTAACATGGCCAGTCCGCATGCCTGGGCAGCTCTGACGGTCGCTAAAAGAGAAATATTCGAGAGGCGCGATTTGGTAAGGAAAGAAGTTTGAAATACTGCTGAGCAGGGGACTTATCGATGAAAGTTTACGGATTTGTTTCAGCAGCTCACAAGCCAAATAGTCTGACGGCAATGTTGGGAAAGCACTAGAATGTCATTCCGTAGTTTTTCGGCTCTTCAACAGTGCGAATCCTCCAGCTCAATCAGGGACAGAACCCATGACTGCCAACAGGTTTTGTCACTAGCTTACGGCACTGAACCATTAGGGAAGATGGCGGACCGTCACAAGTTTCAAGCTAACTTGGATATAAAGTGACTCGTTAATCCCAACCTAACCTCACCGGCCTCAAAGTCCATGGGGACAATCATTGGGACCCACTAGGCGGTCTGTGAGTCAAAAGTATCCATCTTCCGTGGTTACATCTAACCTCAATGTTCAAAGATACCAGCGAATGATAACGAATAATGAGCTTCCTCAATCTGCTCTGGAATTGGAAACTGTTCATTTGGCTCCTGTGAGGAGAGCTCAGAGGTGTGGCCTGTATTTAACTGATGTAAGTACTATTCTGAAGAGGAGCTGTCGGTTGTCGTGATTATACAAGTGCGCACAGGATGAAGTACACTGTGGTTTCTGACGTGCATCTAAATTTGGTGTTAGCATATTTGAAATGCTCCTCGGTGTGCCGGTTGAGTTGTGGTGAGTCAAGAATCCAGTCAAAACCAAACTTCCTAGGAATATTGACAGTAGTATCAATCTCTTACGTGACAAACACCTTTCGTTTTTTCAACACGGGACTATACCGGATGAGGGACAACAGTAAACACTTCCAGGAACCTGTTTTCTTCATTGTAATTCTTTGGCTCACCTTCTCAATCAAAATGGACCAAGCAAACTTGACCGAACCGCACTCGTGTCGGTAGCTAACTTCAGATGTGTGATTTCCCCCATGGGTGGAATAGTCGCAAGCAACAACTGGAGTAATGGTATTGTACAGCTTAGTTATAGAGTAGACATCAGTGAGATGACCTGGTTAATCGGTTATGTGATAAAAGCTGAAAGCTAGTGTATACCGTGGTCAGGAAATGAGAACCCTCAAACTATAGATTGCAAATAACATGGTCAGCTTTTCGCTAAAAAGTTCGATTCAGATTGCGGTACTCGAGTACTTTTCCTCCCAAAGAATAAAAGGATCGTCAAGTCACCTGAGTAGTGACCAGATGCACCATCGTTGCGACGGTGCCGTTCCTAAATTTGTCGAAATCTGACTGGTGGATGAAATGTTGTGGCTAAGTTGATTTGCAAGGAACCGCCTTGGAGATCCGGCCATTATGCCCAGTCATGTTAGCTTCCCGTGGTTCATTGTCTGATATCAGCTCTTCCCTGCAACTTAAGACTCCGGAGTATATGTTGACAAAGGTCAACTCTTTTCAGTGTGGTACGAGTATATGGTTTAACAGAGAAAGCCTGCAATTCGCTAAAGTCACCAATATCATTCGACTGGTTTCATCACGTTATCCTAACTTTGGTAAGTACATTTTGCGATTCACTGAAAAGTCGTAAGGCTCTAGCAGGTAAATATCAGAGAGAACCGGTAAATTGATGGAGTTGGAACTTGCGAACATGCTCATTAATCAATCAATCAATGCTCATTAATCGAGAGACTAACTCAACTCTATTCAGGTAATCAGTTATCTAGTATTGAAACCTGTAGATCATCCGGTAGAAGTGTACAGCCCTTCGGCACGGAATAGATACAAAGTACTTACACTTGATAGCCAGTAGGTGCGTGCGTGACGCAACCTGATTGAATTCCGTGGACCATTACAATTAAACTCTGAGGCGGCTGTTTAGGACTAAGCTCAATCAACTTCCAGAGATGCTGACTGACGGATGGCCTGAAAGTCTGCCGAATGAGATGGTAGCACAGCCCATCAATCATTTTAACGCAGCCCATTAGATGAGTTGGAAAAGGAAGCGTGGTTTAAAACAAGGAAAGCAATTACCACAACGTAGTTTGATCCCGAGAGCGGAGGCGGAGTCCGCTGCAAAGCAATAAATCAGTGGCCGACGTCAGTTCACCCGCGTGATTTACTGAGGTTGCTTGCATTGTATTTTTTTCATTACAGTTCACCAAGGTCACACGTTTCAGTCATAACATGGTATATTTTTAGACAAAACATGATAGAGCCCGATGTAAGGAGTCTAATCACATCCGAATGCTTCGTTAGAATAACAGCGCAGATGAAAGTACGGTAAAATGTCCGAACTTGAGCACCTCTATATCCTGACCACCCCTCCAAGTTGATCATTTTATTTTTAATTCTGCACCATATAAATCTTATGGAGCGAGACCTCTGTATGTTGACGACCATTCTATGTTGACCAATTTGGTTCAGTCCCTTAAGCAGTCAACTTAGGAAGTTTTACTGTAGGTACAAAAACGGTTGTCAAAAGTCCGATTAACTAAGGTCACGTCCGTTAGAAGAAGCAAATTGCAAAGTGAAGAAGGATGGGCATTTTAATGCGAGTCCATCTATGAGCTTTGAACCCCTTTCTGTCAATGAACAGTTATGAATCGTGGTGCCTTTTGTCTGGGTTTGCGAATCCTTACAAGGGGATGATGTTAGCTCACGTTCCAAACCTGCAACTCACCCCGCGACTATACTCGAGACAGGGTGAGCGTTCAGAAGTCACAGTGCGGATGAAGTCGTGAGGGCCTTGATGTGGTGTGAACTAGTGGCAAAAAGCGGTTCTCAACCTTTGTGTGGCTGTTACACACGAAGCGGGTTCACCATAAACAATGACTCCCCAAAACATTTTAGTATAAAAAGCTAATTACCTATTAACTATTGTGATTTCGGCTTTAAATTGCGGAAAATGAATACTACTTCAATTGGTTTTAGCAATCCAATAAGGAAAACACCTATTCTTGAACAATTTCATTAGATCAACAGATGTACGTTAATGAGACGGTTGTTACGGCTGATGTTGCATTCTTGATGCTTCTTCACCGCAGTTGGGCTAAACCAACTTACACTTCAACTAGGTCTTTTTAAGCTGAATACATTTCATTCCACTTTATTTGGTTTGTTCTGCCTACGTGGCCAGTTAATACTGGCCACGTTGCTTACGCTGATTGTGCTTATCTTCGGTAACTTTGTTGCGTTTGTAGCATTTTAAAGTAACTTGTAGACATTTTTTACTTATTGCGGATTCGTTGTTAACCAACTTACTTCATATGCTAATTTTTCGAAGAGTTATGTCAGGGTATCTCTATGCATTATTGGTTTTATTTTATTTCATCTTGTCGTTTCAAGTAATTGGCTGTTGCTTGATATCCCCGGTGTGGCTGCGCTTGATGCGCATGTTGACAAGGTGCCTACCTGTCTATTACCCACTACCTCGTTCATACTGGCTCCAGGAGACAGTTGGTCGTTGCTGGAGGGGATGAGGTGCACGGTCCTTATGGCCGTGCTAGACTCGAAGAGCGGTTCCATACACGCAGTGTGGAGCGGACTACGGTTCAGCCACCGCCTTGTGTGCGCTTGATTCCCCACATACAGCGTGATTGTGTGTGCCTTTGAAAGAATGTGGGCCGGCTCCGTTGATGAAACATGGTTCCCATCCACATGCCTCCCGGTCTTATGGGGTGTGGTTGGAGCAGTGGGTGGTGCAGCGCAAGCTACCCATGGTCCCTCTGTAGGCGCAGGCGTCCTGTGGCTGTCCCGGGAAGGCCACAATGACAGGCAAATCCGAAACCGGATGCCGCCAACCATGTGAGTATGTGTGCCCCATGCTGAGGCTGATGTTGCATTCTTGATGCTTCTTCACCGCAGTTGGGCTAAACCAACTTACACTAAACTAGCCAGCTATCCAGCTTACCGGATAAATTTCATTCCACTTTATTTGCTTTGTTCTGCCACGTTTCTTATGCTGATTGCGCTTATCTTCGGTAACCTTGTTGCGTTTGTAGCATTTTTAAGTAATCTGTGGACATTTTTCCTTATCGCGGATTCGTTGCTAACCAACTTACTTCATATGCTAATTTATCGAAGAGTTGTCACCGTATCTCTATGCATTATTGGATTTATTTTATTTCACCTTGTCGTGTGTGGTTGGAGCTGTGGGTGGTGCAGCGCAAGCCACCCATGGTCCCTCTGTAGGCGCAGGCGTCCTGTGGCTGGCCACAGTAACATGCAAACCCGAAACCGGATGCCGCTAACCATGTTATGGCTTAGATACAACAACTTATGGTATAGTTGGTGTGGTTTCGGCTATCGCACATCGTAAGTCGTGCCCCGAGTTCATTCGGTTCTTTGCTTTAGTGTGTGATTCCTGTTCAAACATGAATGGGTGTCAATGGGTTCTGATTTCTACAGAAGAGTAGTAGGGGGAGTTGAATGGTATAGGTAGAACTTCGTCACATCTAGGCTCACTCAGACAGCCGCCACAAGCCCGGAAAAGCACTGTACGCGCGTTTCATCCTTTCGGGAATCATCAGCAGTGCGCATTTCATCGGACCCTTGGTAGGGCTCGAAACCGCAACTCGACTGTTGCCAGTCCGTGGTTGAGACCACTGAGCTACGGGGACGGCAACGACCATCGTGAATAAGTTACTAGATGTGATATAGCGCCGCTCACTATCCACTGACTTACACGTTAATGCCGTGCAGAGGACTGGGTAGCCCCCTCACCAAGCGACGAGCTTAACAAACTTAAGCCGCCAATTATCTTATGGCATTATAAGCAGTTTGTTCTGCGTACCGATTACAGAAGAGTAGTAGGGGGAGTTGAATGGTGTAGGTAGAACTTCGTCACATCTAGGCTCACTCAGACAGCCGCCACGAGCCCGGAAAAGCACTGTACGCGCGTTTCATCCTTTCGGGAATCATTAGCAGTGCGCATTCCATCGGACCCTAAGTGACAACTTCCCACTGTCACTCTGTATGGATACATCCAGAACACTAATCGCCTGTTTTGTCCATTCTACCTTGTAATCAT